AAAATATCCTATTACTGCAACACTTCATGCTAAACATATGTTTTAATGATGATTTTTCTTCTTTTAAAAATATAAATTTAAGTTTTCAACTTTGAAGTAATAGTGAATACTACTTGTTACTAATCTTGCAAATTTATTATATTTCAGGAAGGAAAAGTGTTTCAGATGTGTTGTGATATATGAAAAACATCCTAACGTCTTACAGTACAGAGAAAGTGAGTAAATTTAAGATTTCCCTTTTCTTAATGTCTTTATAATTTAAGAGGCAATTAAATACTCAAAATTATATCTAAATGAGCTTAAAAATACTTGAATAATCAATTTGATCAATTAAAATGCATTTATAGTGTTTAAAGAATAGTTCTGAACTTATGAATTCGTGAGAGATCCTCTTGCATTTGACTGAGTTATTGGTGTGGGAAAAAAGTGCCTCCCCCCCGGTAGTTTAAATTTATAAGTTTCTTCTTTGAAGGTTCTGTTGCAATACGAATTCACACCTTAAAAAACTGAGAAGAAAATATGATCAAAATGACCGGAATAATGTGAAATTTATTTTGTTTCTACTTCTATTGGAACACCAAAAAGCTCAGTAATTTATATCGAAACTATTTGGTAATGGCTTTTGTAAAATTAGCAAATTAAATATCATTTTAATATGTGATAAATTTTAGTTAATATGGAAAAATGTGATAGTTATATTATGATAACTATAACTGACCGAAATTATTTAACCGAAGAATTGCTATATAATTGGTTTAAATACCCTATATTTTGGTTTTTATTACAATAATTATATGTTCTCTTTCCATAAATGTCATTAACGTACAGCATAATAATTTTTCCAGAATTTGTTTTCTTCGTGTACCGATTGGTGTGTTATAGTTTTATAACTATTACGAGTTTTTAACAGTTACGTTTTGTACATCATTGGGCAAATCACTCTAAGTAAAGTAGAAAAATGATGTTAATATGATCAAAAGGCAATTGTCATAATGAATATATGGTGATCTAATGATAAAGTTATCAATTGTTTTTTAATATATAAAGCTTAATTTCTCGGGCTTATACGAAATTGCATAAATTAAAAATTTTAACCGAATCCAATGATTTTCTTTCAAAAGTTTAATAAATTTTACTAAGTGAGGATTCACTTACTTTCGTGTTTGTGACAATCAAATCTTTCAGTTAATGACTCGATCACTCACTTACTAGCTAAAACACTCAAAGTTTAAAAGAAGCTCTGTTATAAATGATGATAAAAATTTTAACAATTCCCTGAACCAATCTTAGATAAGTTTATGGCGATATTGTCACTAATAAAAATTTGGATCAAAATAAACCTAACTAATAGAATAAACTTTTCAACTGAAGCTACATATTGATAAATAATATTTAATACTATCATCTGAGAGAAATTATCATTGATAGAAATTTTGTCTAAGTAAAGTGATCATGTGTCAAAATTCTGTGTCGGATGACAATAAGAGATTCAACGGTTTCCCAAACGCTACTTATAGAATTAATCGTCGATAAAACTTCTGACCATTTCTTGAATAGCCACAGGATTCAAATTGTAAATCCAAATTTGTACTTGACGATAGAATATGTTTTAATCATTATCAGACCCTTAAAAGCAAAATTTATGGCTGCATTATTTCGAATGGGATGCTATCACTAATTGACATTTTGACCAATTTCCAAAAGGCTAGAATGTTTAAATTTTAACAGAATGGCAGTACTAGATTATAAGGTAAGTCTTACACGTTTCCAAACCAAAACAGTAAGAACTTTTCCAAAGCGAAATAGAAATTGTCACCAATTAAAATTTTGATAGCAATATCTATTTCGCTTTCTTAGTAGCTAGAATATATCAATTTTAATTGGATATCTGAACATAAAGTTACTATTATTTCCTAAATAATAAAAGAAAGATGCACCTTAAATCGAAAATTAACCATTTTCTTATTTAACAGAATCAAGACATAAAACTAAGAATAAAACTATATAAATTAAAATTTTTAAAAATTACCTTTTTTCAAGTGAACTAAAACTGAAAAATAATTATGTTTTTTTCATAACGAAAATAAAAACTGTGCGCTTTTCACTTTCGTAGTAAACTTCTATCACCTACCGAAAATTCTCCCCACATTTTGTTTCTTTTATTTTGGAAGACAGAAACAAAATTGGTTTCTTCTTTTTAATCCACTTAAAAAACGTAGTTCGTAAAATTTTACTTTTAAATATCACAGAAATTTGTTTGCTGCTAAGTCCAGACAAATATTTTCAGAAGTAAAGTACATTTAGTTTAAAAATAAAGTTTTGTTCCGATTTAATGAATTTAAACTTTGACTATATTAAAAAAATATTCTTTAGTGAAAGATTTTTGGATTCTTAAACGGGTAAAAAAAAATCTGATAAAATTATCATACTGTATGAAGGGATATTCCTAGTAAAAGAAACATAATTCTGGTAACGAAAAACAAAATATTCAGTCTATATGTAGACATTTATTTGGTAATTTTTCCGTTCATAATGTAATGGTTTACTAGGAATTCCAGTTTTCAAAATTATAGTACATTTAGTAAGGAATACGAAAATGGAATGTAAATTCAACCGAATAAATGGTTTTTATGTCATGCTCATTTATTCCGAATAAATGGTTTTTATGTCATGTATAATCATAAAAATATAAAATTTTACCATACTTACCAAATTTCATCATATACTAACAAAACCAGTTTTTATTGTAAGTTTTACCAAAATCCTTATTAAAGCGATTTGGTGAAAATTACCGAGCATAAGTTTATTAATTTTTACTGAATGAATATTTTTATATTTGCCATTGTTTCTATAAAGTAAAAAAGATGGTTAATTTAATCTTCATTCTGGTAGTTTCTGAAGAATTTTTCTTCTTACTGTAGTCAAAAGAAAGTTTTCGATGAATGAACGAAATGATTTTTCTTCCTACTGTTTCGATCATATTTTTCTTACTATTTTGATCATTTTCGTCTTACTATTTTGATCATTATTTGATCATACATATTCATATTCTGAATAATACAAAATAATTAGTACCTGAGTCAAAAGTTAGTGAATATTTTTTTGTTACTTTTGTTACAAATTCAACCATTTTATTTGTTTTTCTTAATTTTGGTATACTCTTTCCGAAAATAAATAATTCAAGCAAAAACTATTTTTACTTTTCTTACGACTTGCAAACTTTTCTTCGTGAATAAGAGTTATAACGACTGTCAGTAGTTTTGACACTTATAAGTTAAATGTAGGCGAAAAATATCCTATTACTGCAACACTTATATCACGTACCTGCTTTAGTATATTCGGCGTCAATTGCCTACAACACGTATTGCCTATAAATACAATACTAATGAAGCAATAAAGTTTAAAAATGAAACAATACCGGCGTCAATAATTGTATGGCGATTTTTACCTCCCCATTTAATGAATAGGTATCATTTGTTCTGTTATAATTTTAATATTGTTTTTAACTTATTTACCCACTTTATTCGGGGTGCACTGTTTTAACTTGGTGAGATAGTTTTTCAAACTATCTGAAACAAATAATTATAAGAAAACAGAAGTTAAAAAAAAAGGCTTGACATAAAACGTAGAATAATTAAGTAAAAAAAGGAAAGAGGGTAGATCTATATTATATCAATACCTATAATTTATTATATACGGTGTATATTTTATAAGATGTGTTTTAAAATAATCTATATATTTTACACGTTTTAATTAATTTTAGAAACAAAATGAAATTCTAAAATTCTTAATTAATAAGAGTTCAGTGTCTGTACACAAAGCTATAGTTAGCAATGATTAACGTTGAGGTGCTGAAAGCCTGATAGCGTAAAAACTGATAAATCAAACTCAACTTACTTCACATTGGACACTATACATACACTAAGTGGATTCAATTTTGGAAGGAAAAGAAAAAAAAGTTATATTTTTCGCTACCAGTATTTCAAATAATATTTATAATGCTTATTTTTGAGAAAAAAATATGCATAGCAAGTAGAGAAAATGATCATTTCATATGCATTTTGATATTGCATTTACATTTATGATTGCATTTTACACTTACATTTTATGTAATGCTTTTGCAATTAAGGCATTATCAGTTAGATATTTATTAAGATTTTCTTGTAAAGACAAAGTTATCAGAAAATTGTCCTACATCACTAAGAAGGACACATTGCTTAAGAACAAATTCAAATTCATTGGAGCTTCATTAAAGTTTGACAAACTTCAAAAAATCTCGTTAAACCTCAAATACAAATTCAATATTGGCAAAATTAGAAGAGTATTCGTTCTTATAGGGTATAGTATTCTACAATCATCATCCAATACGGTAAGTAAAAAATTCATGTAAAACTACTGCACTGTATGGAAATGAAATTTCTCGTAAAAAAAAACCTCAATTAAAAAAAGCATAGTAAAAACACCATAACCTGTAATAAAAACTAAAATATGTGGTATTTAAACTATTTAATTTGGTAATTTTTCCGTTCATATGATAGCGGTTTTCTGGAAATTTTGGTTTCTAAAATTATAGTTTTTATTTCAATGCATTTAAGAAAAAATGCAAAATTGAAATGTAAATTTATCCAAATAAATGAATATTACGTCATGCTCTAAGGTATCATGATAAAATTATGAAATTTTACGCCATTTACCAAATTTCAGTATAAATTAGCAAAACATATTTTATTGTTAACTTTAACAAAATATTGCCAAAGCTCTTCAGTAAAATTTACCAAACTTATTGGTGCTTCCATAAAGATAAGTTTTACGACAAGTTTACGATAAGTTAAGTTACGATACACGATAAGTTTTAGCATAATCTGGTAGATATGACCATACTTTCGTCTCAGAATGCATATTTGCAAATTTTCGAAATCTTTATTACATACTTAGTAAAAAAATAGTTATATTAGACGTTGAAAAAAAAACAGTAGGGATGAGAAAAAATAAAAATTAAATACATTTAAGTTTTTCAAAAACAAATTTTTTTTAGTGTTAATTAAATCCACAATTTTATGAAAGGTGCGTTTCTTTCTTCTTTATGTATGATAAATTTTCCGATAATGAAATATTTGTTAATTTCTCATAAGCAAACAATTGAAATAGTTATCTTTCTTCAGAATTAATTAATAATTCAAATTACTTCTAGACAAAATATAAACTCTCGGCAACC